AGACAAGGAACAAGACTTTGTCTTCTTCTTAGCCTGATGGCTGTCATCCCACCTCCAAGTGGAAGCTACCTGGCTGAGTGCTCTGTGGGCCTCACAGTCTCCTCAGGCTGAGACCCCTTGTGCCTTGGCTGCAGCTGCAGAGCCACAACAGTTCACTGAGCCTCCTTTCTGGAAAACAGAGGTTTGTTTTTTTGTTGTTGTTGTTTGTTTTGCCTTGGAAGTCTCCTTTCTGACCCCACCACAGGGCTCTGGCAAGTTCTCCAGTGCGTGGGGATGCCTGTCCCTCCCTGGAGATGGAATGGCCATAGCAAGGATTTGCCTCACAGGCCTCCATCAGGACGGGTGACGAGCATGTATTTTAAAGCTGGTCCTGCACCTGACTTGTAGGTCCACTATGATTCCAGGCTTGCCTTTCTGTTCTGAAGCTCAGGATGGCCTCCCATCTCTGCAGCTGTCCCCTCCCCCTTTCCTTACAGGGCTGGCAATGGCAGGTCTACTTAGAACTACCAAAACAGGGAGGCCTCAACTGTCAGTCATGAATAGAGGGCAGCTATATTCCAAGCAGGCAAACGGAATGCAGTGCCAATACTTTCTCCCCAGATGCCTATCTGTGCTTGACCTGTCTAACACAGGTTAGGACCTGCCTCAGTCTGCTATCTGAGGCTTACAGGAAACGGAAATGTGTTCACCTCATGTCCTAGAAGCTACCAGCACCTTCTTAGGCATTTTCCCTGTGGGCTCCATGTCAGTTAGATTGCAAGGTCAGCCACTACCATCTTTCTAATGGTGCAGGTTCTGGGAACGGGACTTGGGGCCTCCCAGTACTGCAGTGTTATAATGCATTCTTAGCCCTTGATTTTGAAGGAAGTTCTACTGTGGGTGAAACGCCACCAAGCAGCATGGCATACTGACAAATGTATGAGCGTGTGTGTGAGTGTGTGAGTGTGTGTGTGTGTGTGTGTGTGTGTGTGTGTGTGTGTGGTCAGTCTGGGACATAGGGGACTTAACTGTTGAACCATCTGAAGAAGTTTCAGCAGCCACTCCAACCTTTAGCCACCATACCCCACAACCCCCTGGGTCAGAGCTATGAAAGTCAAAGACAGACCATACCTAACACAAGCAAAAAGGTTACATGTTTTGTTTTGTTTTAGACAGGGCTCTGTAACCTAGACTGACCTGGAACTCACAATGACATTGTCTACATTGCCTCAGGCTCCCAAGTGCTGCCTTTACAGGCATGTGCCGCCACACCAGTCATCGAGAGTTCTTAGCTGTCACTCTTTCTTTCTTTCTCTCTCTCTCTCTCTTTTGAGACAGGGTTTCTCTGTGTAGCCTTGGTTGTCCTGGACTTGCTTTGTAGACCAGGCTGGCCTTGAACTCACAGAGATCCTCTGGCCTCTGCCTCTCAGAGCGCTGGGATTACAGGCATGAACCACCGCACCACATTCATGTGTAACGCTTTCTTTTATGTGGATTTATTACTTATTTCTCTGCATGCACGTGCATGTTGGCTATGGCTGCTCGAGTGTGGAGGTCAGAGCTCAGAGGTCTCAGAGTTCATTCTACTCTTCCACCATGTGGGCTCTCGGTATGCAACTCAGGGCTTCAGGTTCAGGCAGGTGGCTTACCGGCCGAGCCATCTTGCTGGCTCTGTAACATATTTTCTTGTTTTTTTTTTTTTTTTTTCTCTTTGAGATAAGGTTTCTATGGATAGCCCTGGCTATCCCTGAAGCTCCTTCTGCAAAGCAGGCTGGCCTTGAACTCAGAGACCTGCCTGCCTCTGCCTCCCAAGTACTGGGATTAAAGGTGTGTGCCACCGCTGGCTCCGTAACATATTTTTAAGTTATGGACTATATATTATTTAGACATAATGTTATATACTTACCAAACTGTAAACACAATTTTTATATGCATTAGGAAAGAACAACAACAACAAATTCATAGGCTTGCTTTTAGGTACTACAAGCTTCTTCGGCTCTACTGGATATTATGCCAATTTGACACAAGCTAGGTCATGTGAGAACAGGGAGCTTCAGACAGGTGTGGTGGGACATGCCTGTAATCCTAGCACTCTGGGATGCAGAGGAAGGCAGGCGGATCTCTGTGAGTTAAAGGCCAGCATGCTCTACAAATATACAGATAGCCAAATCCAGGACAGCCAAAGCTATCTCAAAAAGCCGAGAGAGAGAGAGAGAGAGAGAGAGAGAGAGACTCTGTTGAGACGATGTTTTCATAACATTGGGCTGTAGGCCAGCCTGTAGGGCATTTTCTTAATTAGTGATTAATGAGGGAAGCCCAGCTCATTATTGCTGGGGCTACCCTGTGGTGGTGGTCATGGGTTCCAGAATAAAGCAGGCTGAGCAAGCCATAGGGGCAGGCCGGGAAGTGGCACCCCTCTGGCTCCTGTGTCAGCTGCTGCCTCCAGCTTCCTGCCCTGTTTGAGCCCCTGTCCTCACTGCTTTTGATGATGAACTGTCACATGGAACTGTGAGTGGATAAACCCATTCTTCCCCAAGTCATTCTTTTGGACACGGTGTTTCATCACAGCAATAGTAACTCTGACTAATTAGTGGTCTGGAACGAAACATCAAGGTATGCCTTGCATTTAATAAATAAGCTATTGTTCATTATTGCTGCATAGTTTACTGGTTTCCATAGTTTACATGGTTTTTCTGTGTAGCCATGACTGTCTTAAAACTTGCTCGGTAGACTAGGCTGGTCTGGAACTCACTGGGATCCACCTGCCTCTGTCTCTGGGATTAAAGGAGTATGCCACCACCACCCAGCTGGAAACACTGTTTTTATCCCTGCCCTATTGACAAATTCTGGTACTGCTTCCAATGTTCGGCTGTTTAAAGAAGGTCACTTTGCTGGCGATGCATGCCTTTAATCCCAGCACTCTAGAGGCAGAGTCAGGCAGACCTCTGAGATTTGAGGCCAGCTTGAACTACAGAGAGATATCCAGGGCTACTCAGAGAAAACCTGTCTCAAAAAGACAAAACACTAACAAACAGACAAACAAAGTCATGTTGACCAGGCTGAGGTTTCAAATGTGGTTTGTCTGTCCTGTCATAGCCCAGCAGATCCCAGAATGTGCATGCTGGGATGTTCCTGGATGATGCTCCCTAGACCCCCCTCCCCCCATGCTCTGGCTTAGCACTGGGGAGGCAGACGCAGGTGGATCTCTGAGGTCACCTAGAGCTCTTGTTGCACAGAGAAACACTGTCTCGAAGCAGATCAGGGACAAGCAGTGAAACCAAAGACACCTGGAAGATGGGGCGGGGGCAAAAGAGGCTGCTGCAAAGGATTTGAACACAGCCAGGCTGCATTCAGGGCTGCGCTCATTTCACGTGGTGGCCAGCATGAGCATGTCCGCCTTGGACTGGCACCCTACAGGGAGGAGCAGAGCGTGGGAGGAGGCAACAAGCAATTTCCCCGAATAATTACAGCGTTTAGTGAAGCTACAGGAGTTGAAATTCCCAGCCCTCAGGAGGGCAGGAGCTAAAGCGGCCAGGAATTCCAGAGGCCCCAACTCGCAGTACAGGGGCCCACAGTGACCCTGCATGTGGGGAAAGTGAAGGTTGACTAGGGCAGGACACTCTTTGCTATGCTGGATGGTCTGGACTGGATGGGACTTTAACCACTTCATGGCTGGAGAGGAGGATTACAACTGTGTTCCTGAAATTGTGACAATGAATATCTGGCAAGTTTTGAATTTGAAAGCTGGGCTTGGCTGTGCTTTGTTTTGCAGCCTGGCAAGTGTGTGCAGGATGAGGAGGAAAGGGGTCTGAGGCCCTGATTATCGGCCATAGTTGCAGGAGGGGGTAGGTACTGCAGCCTCCCTCCCCTCCTGAACGGCCTCTGCACTGATTCTCCCAGCTCCCAGCCCTGAGCGTCAGCAGGCTGAAGCCTTCCTCTGGGCCTGCTGCCTCTGCTCTTCCTGCAGCAGTGGCTCCAGGGCCTCAAGTGTAAGCAACCAAGACGCCCGAGGCCCTGGCCCAGAGGGTCTGCCTGCTATGACTGTGGTCTACAATGAGTTCAGGGAGGTCACACACTTGAGCCAGAGTGGCATCCGGGCGGCCCAGTGGAGCTTGCTGTCTCTGCTCTGGACCGGAAGGACACAGAATGTGCTCGCTCGGTGGTGTCTGCCACCTGAGCCTGCCCTGTACTGGTGCTCAGGTACCTGAGCCCAGCCCAGGGGGCAAGGGACCCTGAGCGCAGGGCTGGTCGGAGTATGAGGCCTTTATGTTCCTCCTTCCTATTGGCCATCGTGGGGTGGACAGGTGCCAGGACTTTCGTGTGCAGAGGCTGGCTGCAGCACCATTCCATCCCCGGCACACCTTTCCTTGGCATGCTCGAGACTGGTCCTCTGCTGCCACCCAACCACGTGTGTTAGCGGGCCCGCCTTCACGCCCACACTCCCTTCCAACTGCTTTAGACAAACAGGTAGTTTAACATAGTTTAACAATTGCTTTTATTGTCCCCAGGAGAATGGAGGGTCCAGGAAGGTGGGAAGTGCCCTCCATCTTTCTGGCAAGAAGACGGCGGACCGAGTTCTCAAAAAGTGAGGGGGAAAACAGTGGGTTGGGGAGGAAGCCAAGTGCCGCTACCACCCATAGATGCTGGAGACGCTGGGGTGTAGGAACAAGGCGCTCTCTTTTTCGCTCTCATGCTGGGCCTCTTCAAGGAGCCTGGGTAGAGCTAGGTGGCCTAATAAGGGTCGGTGGACGGCTGTCAAAAAGGTTTTCGTGGTTCAAGGCGCAACAGAAGCCGGTAAGTCCGGCAATGGGGTCGTCCAGTGCTGGTGACGCAAGACATTCTGCAAAACCGGAAGTAAGTGCCTTAACATCCTGAGGTCTGCGGGAGCTAAAGGTGAGGCTGCAGGATGGAGGTCAGAAACCTGAAGTGGGCATGGAAGAGGAGCGGTTGGAGCCCAGAAAACAGTACTGTCAGGAGACACTGGAGCCAGCGGTGGGACGCTGCGGTGGCGTCCAGTGAGCCTAGAGAGTCAGTTCAGCTGCCGCCACCAGTACGAACACCATCCCTGCCAGCAGGAACAGCAGGGTGGAGGTCTGGCTCGCCGCAATGCTGTGGCCGGCAGGGGGCGCCAGGCCGCAGTCGGTGTAGGGCTCCAGGCAGCCCGCGAAGGCCATGACGTGCGCGACGTAGTTCTGCTCCTGCACCCCGTGCACCAGGTGCGCCTGCGGGCCGCGCGCGAATATCGCCACGTCCTCCCCGGCGTGGGTCTCGCCGTCCAAGGGCACGGCCGCCTGCTGCCGGTACGAGGGGCTGCCTGCAAAGAGAGGGGAGGGGGGGTTCAGGGCAGGTTCTCCGCCCCAGCCCCAGCCCCTGCCCCTGCCCCACGTGGACAGCCCCACTGAACTTACTGCTCTCTTCTTCAGTAACGTCAGCCCGGACGCCGTCATGGAGCCTGTAGCCGGGACCATTGCCATATAGGATTGAGGTAAAGGATTTGCCGTCCTGAGCCTTGAAGGGAGCCAGCCCTGCGGGGAGAGGGGGTGGCATGTTCTCAAACCGAGGGCTGCTTCTGTATGCCTTCACCTTTTGCCAACAGATCCCCACAAGACAGCAATTATCTGCCTCTGCCCGCCCCACGCCTACCAAAGACGGAGCTCCCCCTGTGTGCGTAGCCACCGTAAGTGAAGACGTGGGAATGGTCAGCGGTGACCAGGATCATGGTGTCCTTCTCACTGGTGAGCCTGTCCGCCTTGTCGATGGCAGAGTCAAACACGACAGCCTCGGTCAGTGCACGGTAGGCTACAGATTCATGGTGGCCATGGTCGATGCGGCCCCCTGAGGAAACCAGGGATGGAGAGATGCTTGAGCCTGCGCTGGACCCGTTCCCCCACCCCCACCCCCACCCCCGCCAGGCACAACCGCTCACCTTCCACAAAGAGGTAGAAGCCTCGGGGGTTCCTCCTCAGCATACGGATGGCCACCTCTGTCATCTCCACCAGGGAAGGGTCTTCGGTAGGGTTTCGGTAGATGTCGTATGTCATGAATTCAGGCTCAAAGAGGCCTGAAGAGAAAGAAAATTCATCATGAACACCAGACCAGGTAGCATTGACATCCCCACACGCAGTCTCTCTGTGTCTCTCTCCCTCTCTCTCACACTCACTCGCACGATTTCCTAATGGAAGGGTTCCAGCCAGGGGAAGAAATGGGAGTTATTACCCATGAGATGTGTCACAGAAGGATCCAGGGACATCCGAATGAGCTGCGAGCGGTTCCAGACATACTGGGCTCCCTGCAGGGACACAGCCAACCTACTAAGTAGGCACTTTGAAATGTACAGCCCTCACTAATCTCCTCTCTGCCCCTCCGTCCTGGCGCCCCCAGTACCTGGTGCTTTGCCAGCCACTCTTGAACTAGGTTGCGTCCATCCAGCCTGGTCCCATCCTGGCCAGGGTTAGTTGGATATTCCTGGTCCGGCGTCCCCTTGGGAAACATGAACTTGCGGCCACCACCAAGGATTACCTATGATCAGAGGTGAGCTTGGGACCTGACCGATATGATCCTCTGTTCCCTCCTGACAGTACCTCGTCCCAGCAGGTCTGAGGAGAGGAACTCTCTTTGGTCCACACCTTCTCCATCTAACCCCTACCCACTGCTCAGATATCCCAGGGATTCAGAGCTCAGACTGTGAGCTACGTAGACTTCAGCTGAGTGACACCTTGCCCCAGCCCTACCCCCTCGCTGTTGGAGCTCACATCAATATCCATGTTGGAGATGAGCTGTGTAGAGATGTCCTTGCAGCCCTCCTGCAAGGCCGAGGCAGGCATTTCCGCATCCGAGTACCAATTACGGTTCACGGTGTGTGCGTAGGTGGCTGCTGGAGAGGCGTGCTGCACCGACGTGGTGGTCACCACCCCCACAGACTTTCCTGCAGAAGAAGTCAGGTGGGTCACCCGGGACCCCAGGCCTCCCCACGTCCCGAAGCCTTGTCCCCACCCACCTACCTGCTTTCTTGGCGCGATGCATCACAGAGATGACCTCATTGCCCCACGTTGTGTTGCACTCGTCAAAGCGCGCAGCTGCACTCAAGCCAATGACCTTGAAGTTGGTTTTGACCCCGGAGAGCATGGCTGTGGCTGTGGCCGCGCTGTCTGGGATCTGCATGTCTGTGTTGTATGTCTGGGGAGAGACACTCTCAGCTCAACTCGACTGGTCTACATTAGTCCTGGTCTCTTCCTGGGACTTGCCCCCCACCCCCTGTGCCCGGTCTGTATTCTTCCCCAACTGCCCCTCCTGCTGTACCAGCTTTTGCCACCCCTTTGGGGGACTTGCGTGTCTCCAAGCTTACCTTGGACAGAGCCATATATGGGAGGCGGTCCATGGCCAGGGGTGTCTCGGGTCCTAGATGACCGTCCATTTGTCCCTTCAGGATCCGGGTAGCTGTCACTGTGGACACTCCCATCCCTGAAGGAGCAGACACAACCTGGTCAGGACTGAACCCCGGAACTGCCTGGACCCATCCATCAGTGACCTTGGTGCCTGAAGCACAAGGGCCCAGGGTGACCAGGCCTCACACACTCACCGTCCCCCAGGAAGATGATGAGGTTCTTGGCGGACGTCCGAATGGGCTGTAGCTTCTTGGCAGCATCCAGGGCCTCGGCTGCCTTTTGGTTCCAGAAGGCCGGGTTCTCCTCCTCCACTGACCAAGAGGGAGAGCAGAGTCAGGGTAAAAGTGAAGGCCCAGGAGTGTGAAAGGAGCAAGGGCCTGAAAGGAGCCGCCTTACCTGGGATGACGACGCTGAGGGACAGCTGTAGCCTGAGGCCCAGCAGCAAGCACGCTCCCCACATGGCCGTGTGGTAGTTGTGAGGGTGGCAGAACGAGAATCTTCGGTACCAAGGTACTAGCAGAGGCTCTGACACCAGGAGGCTCTGACTGCCTCCTCTTAAATAGGGGAAGGCTCAGAGTCCCTCCCTAATCCTCAGGCTCTACCCTAGCCCCACCCTCTCCCATAAACTGAAGCTTGTGTGTCTGTAAGAAAGAGGCAGGTTGTGGGAGTCCAGGCCAACTTCCTGGACCTGGGATTAAGGGAGGGTCCCATCATCTCACCCAGCAGTGGGAGGTGGGGACAGCTACTGTCTTGAGTATAGAGCCGTCTCACGCTGCACTGGTCGCCAACCCTCTGCTTGCTCCGTCCCGGGGGCATCCAACACTTTCTGTTCCTGTGAGCTTTGGCCCCAGTTGCCTCTTCCCTGGACTCAGAGCAGGTAAGATTTCCAGGAGTATTAGCCAGGGGGAACATTGAATTGGAAAGATGGGGTCCCATAGAGCCCTGTTTGTATCACAGATAAAGTTTTTGTTTTTTGAGACAGGGTTTCTCCATGTAGCCTTGGCGATCCTGGATTCATTTTTGTAGACCAGGCTGGCTCCCACCTCACTGAGATCCACCTGCCTCTGCCTTCCTGAGTGCTGGTATTATAGGCGTGTGCCACCACGCCCGGCCCTCACAGCTACTTTTGAGTGTGTTTGAACACAAACTGGAGTGGAAACTGTGCAGGGCCTGGGTCTTCCCCAGGAACAGGCAGGTTTTGCTCTTGACGTAGAGAGACCCAGGGCCCGTGTTCCGCACAGACCCTGGGCACATCTGTAGGTACAGCCTAGAGTAAGGACCTGGTTGTTCCCTCGGCCTGCGGAAAAGTATTGCTGTGATGCAGTGATCTTGGCTCAGAGCAGTGTGATTTGAGAAGAATGGAAAGCTGGGGCCCATATCCTGTATGGGTTCAACTTTATCCCCAGTGGCCAGTCAAGCCATATGCCTATGGATAGATTAGGGACTAGGTGTGGTAGCTCAAGGCTGCAAGCCAGGCCTTCTGATCCAGGGCAGGAAGATTGAAGGCTAGCCTGTGCTATAGAGCAAGAATATTGGCTCAAAACCAACCAGCCAGAGAGTGTGGTGCATGCTTTTAATCATAGCTTTCTGGAGGCAGAGGCAGAACTCCACGAGGCCAGCATAGTCTCCCTAACTTCAGGGCAACCAAAGGCACACAGAGAAATGTAGAGGGTTTTAAATTCAGAACATGGCTGCTCTGGCAAGAGATCACATCCAAAGATCTAGAACTGTGTGATCCGATCGGCTGGAATACAAACAGGCCTTTAATCCAGGAGACAGAGCCAAGCAGATCCGAGTTCAAGGCCAGCCTGGTATAGAGCAAGTATCAGGTAAAGAAAAGCTTTGATCCAGGCGTGGGGGTACAGGCCTTTAATCCTAAGTAATGAAGGTAAAGTTAGTTTGTAAAAGAAAGCATCCATGTTTGAAAGCGGTGTCTAACTGAGAGTTAGAAGGGGTAACCAGATAAAGATTTGACAGGATAGAATACGCCCAAATCTCACGAGAAGAGAGGGGAGAGGGAAGCTACTTAAGGGGCAGTGTAAAGAAAGAGAAGGCAAGTTTTACTGAGACAGTAAGAGAGAGCTGGGTAGTTGCAGACAGAGAACTCCGGGGAAGACCAAGTGAGCTAGAGAATGCTAGCAAATTGCTAGAGTTAGTTTGAGGTCAAGCAGAGCAATTTAGAGGCCAAAAGAAAAGCCAGATTGAATAAGTCAGCTGGGAAAGGAATTTGAGCCAGAAGAGTGAGTTGAACCATCCAGCCCAGAGCTCAGTAAGAACAAGAAAGGGTGAGCTTGAGCTTATTAAGCAGTAATTCTCAGAGGCTATAAACATTCTAGGCCTAGGTTAGATTGTACAGAGGCTGGAAGCTTCCAGAACTAGGCCTACGTTATCAGATAGGGACAGTAATCTTCTGAGATAACAATTTATGCAGGGGAATAAAAGTGCTTTTATAGAGAAACCCTGTCTTGAAAACCAGCAATGAAAGCTGGGCTGTGGTGGTGCATGCCTTTAATTCCAGCACTTGAGAGGTAGAAGCAGGCATCTCTGTGAGTTCCAGGCCAGCATGGTCTGCAAATCCAGTTCCAGGACAGCCAGGGCTACACTTGAGATATGGAGGCACACCTAACATTGAGGGCACACGCCTTTAATTCCAGCACTCAGGCTGAGACAGGCACATTTCTGTGTGTTTGAGGCCAAAAAGGTCTACAAATCATGTTCGAGGGAAGGTAACATAGAGAAACCCTTTCACAAAAGCTAAAACAGAAAGAGGCAGAGGCAGGAGAATCAAGAGTTCACGGTAATTTTTTCCTATATTAAAAGATTTACAGAACAAAAACAAAACAAATAATCAAAAGAGGGTAAGGCAGATTAGTCGCTAGCATGTGAAATCCCAGCAGTGGGGAGGTGGAGGCAGAGGATCATGCTGGGAGGCCAGCCCTGGATGACTGGCAGATGCTGTCTTAGTCAGCCTCAGGTGGGTTTGATTTGATTTGGGGATCTTGGTATTTCGAGGCAGGGCCTCACGTAGCCCAGTCTGGCCTTGACCTCAATATGTAGCCAAAAGCCACATGCTTGCTTTTTTTTTGTTGTTGTTGTTTTGTCTATGTTTTGTTTTTTTGAGACAGTGTTTCTCTGTGTAGTCCTGGCTGTCCTGGAACTTACTCTGTAGACCAGGCTTGCCTTGAACTCACAGAAATCTGCCTGCCTCTGCCCTCCTGAGTGCTGGGATTACAGGTGCACACCACTGCGCTGGACACAGGCCCAGGTGAACGGTTTTGCAGAGCAGCTGCTTTACATGCCCACAGCAATGCTTACATGACCCAGTTTTTGCCGCCTCTAAATTCCAGTCCACAGTCTCACATCAGTTGGGCTGATCTCATTTGGCCACTCCTGCCGGGACCTACTGCAATATATATATATTAGTATCTCATATTTTACAGGTTAATATATGTTAAGATATTGTTGGGGACAGGATTTCTTCGTGTAAAGAACCCTGGCTGGCTTGGACTCACTCTGTAGACCAGGCTGCCCTCCAGTTGACAGAGCTCCACCTGCCTCTGCCTCCACAATGCTGGGATTGAAGGCGTGTGTCAGCGGGTCCAGCCACTATTTTACCGTCTGAAGGTTGGCATGAGTGACTACACTTTTAGTCACTGTTGTTGTGACAGTTGTGCAGTGTCGAGTGCCTCTATGCTGCCTATGGCGACCCTGACTTCCTGAGCTGGGTTTTGCCCCAGTTTCCGGAATGTTCTTCATGTGTCTGCAAAAGACTGGGGACCAGGCACAGACCACCTGTCAGCTGTGCTCATCAAAAAGATGTTCTTCCATACCCAAAGGCCATAGACAACCCGGCCACCTGGGGCCACCTGGGTCCCTGTGTCCACCTCATGTCTGAGTCACCTGACTACGAGGATAACAGTGGCAGCTCTTCCACTGACAGCTATGATCCGCTATGGGGTCAGAGGTGCAGACCGCAGACCCAGGCATGGCAGGACACACTTGTGACCTCAGCACTCAGTAGGTGGAGGCAGGAGGATTCGGGATTCAGTCAAGGTCATCCTTATCTACATAGTGAGTTCCAGTTCAGTCTGGAATAAACAAATAAAACGCTGGGGCTGCAGCTCAGTTGGTAGAATGCTTGTCTAGAAAGCCTGAAGCCCAGGATTCGGTCCTCAGTGCCACATAAACTCGTTATAGTGGTGCCTTGTCATCTCAAGGCTCAGGAGTTGGTAGCATCAAAAGTTCAAGGTGAAGCCAAGTGTGGTGGCACACGCCTTTAATCTCAGCACCTGGAAGGCAGAGGCAGCCTGATTTTTATGAGTTCAAGTCCAGCCTGGTATACAAAGCCAAGACAGTCAAGGCTACACAGAGAAACCCTGCCTAGTAAAACAACCAAATTAAAAAAAAAAAAAAAAAGTTCAAGGCGAGGAAAGTCTGGGCTACCACAGACCCTGGCTCAAAAGACCAAAACTGGAAACCAAACTAAACAAATAAAAACTCACCAATGAACATATACAGTGAAAATTGTTTTAATTTTCTTCTACTCTTGAATAGCCTTTGCCTGGGGCTGGTGCGCACCAGGACTGATAGAATTTACTCGGGGTGGCGGTGGGGGCGCAGGGTGCTATCAGAGTCTGTCTCTTCTCTGTGAGGGAGCAGGTGTGGCTCCTGACCGCTTCTGCCACCTCAGATCTCGCCAGGACAGCTCACTAAGAGCTTGTGACAACCCTTGACACTCAGGGAACGCCTGGCAGGGTCTGGGGATGGATGTGGATCACCAGAAGTCCCAGCATGCACAGGGGGTACTGTGAGACACGGGACACCCCTTCCTTCAGGCAGGCACCCCAGGCACTCTCTACCTTCCTTCACAGGAGCCTCCCCCAGGAACAAGCTGAACCAGTGTGGTCATCTTGCCTCCTGCTGACAAAAGACTGTTTCATTTTGCCTCTTTCTCCAGGTGTCTTGGGCAGCAGAACTCATGGTAATCAGGATTCCAAACCCACAGAACTGGCAGGGGTCTAGGAGGAAGGTATGAAGTACCCGGGCACTGGGGTGGCTGTGGCTAGATGTCACCTCAGCCCCCACTCAGCCAGTGACCCTCTCATCACACATGCTATAGTGTCTCTCTTCTCAGGCCAAGTCTGCTCGCGCATTTAGGAAGCCGGGGCAAAGGCTAAGCCATTCCCATGGTTGAGAAACCTTCCTAACTGAAGGGCCTCCGAGGCCAGTGCTGCTCCGCTGAGCAATTAGGTTCAGTGTGTTCTGCCTGTGGGTGGACCAAAAGGAGAGCTCACCACCCAGCATTGGGGACCTGGCCATCTGCAGGGTCACAGGCTCAGCCAGGGGTTCTGTGAAGATTCTGCGTGTCATAGAAAGAGTGAAGCTCATGAAAGGTGCAGGAGCCCCTTGGCTGCCGCTGCGGGTTCTGAACCCTCGGGCCAATGGCACTGGCTGTAGAGG